TCCACATCCCTGTGATGTGGGGAGGTGGGGAGGGGACTCCATTGTCCCTGCCTCACAGAAGAGGAAGTGGAGTCCCAAGGGCTGGGTGACTCACCCAAAGTCACACAGTAGTGTGGTGGGACTGGGCTCAGAACTCAGCAGGAGGGTGAGGAATTGCAGAGGTCACTCTAGCACTGTGGCCCTGATTCTGTCCGGCCAGCTCTGTCCTGCTCCAGAGGGCCCTGGGGTTCTGCCAGAGCTAGCTATGAAAGGGCAGGAAAGGCAGGACCTTCTCCCTCTTCCTCAGGGCACTTTTAGAAGGTGTGTGTGTAGGGGGGGAGCCTCAGCTGCCTTGAGATCACCCCTCCCTCCCTCTGGTGGCCCTTCAAGACCCTCCCCAAAAGGTTAATCACTGAATTATCCCATCAAAGAAAATTGCACTTTTGTGCCTTAAAGACCAAACTAAGCTTCAGCATCAGAGTTATTTATGGTCTCTAATAAGCATTTTCCGGGTGTGATTAACCTTTATGCCAAAGTCACGCTGGGAATTGGGATGGCAGCTTGGATTCTGTGTGGCCTGGGGTGGGGGTGCGGGCGTGGGCAGCAGCTGAAGCAGGCAGCTGTCAGACTCCCGCCGTACCACCCACCCCTCCTGGGCTCCTGAGCCACTTCCCCCTCCAAGGGCAGCTCTCCTGTCTGTGCCTTGTGCTGACCTGGCCAGGCCAGAGCACCACCCATCTCGCTCCATTCAAACGTGGGTCACGTTGCCGGATCCCAGTCCTCACTTGCTGCTCAGAACCCCGTCACCCTCAGCACCTCAACGAGTCCAGCTATAAAATAGGGAGCCCAGGACCCTGTCTGCTTTCTGCAGCCCAGTGCTGCATCTGTGTCAGGTCCCCATGGTACCTCAGACAGTCACTTTAGCTGAAGCTATCTTTGAGCTGCAGTAGGCCCTTGTCTGTCTCAGACTTAACCTTCAAGATTTGGAGAGGTGAGGTTGGGTAGGATGGCATCAGCCTGTAACCCCAGCAACTCAGGAGGTCAAGGCAGGAGGATTGCATGCTTGAGGCCAGCCTCAGCAACTTAGTGAGACCCTGTCTCAAAATTTTAAAAGTAGGGAATGCTGGAGATGTACTTCAGTGGTAGAATGCCCTGGGTTCAATCCCCAGTACTAAAAAAAACAAGTCTTGGAGAGATTTAAAATAAGACAGAAGTTTCATTTGGGGCTGCCAGGCTGGGGTGCAGAGTGGGGATCAGCTAGAGAGTGGGTCTAGTGCTCTGCCAGATTCACATTCTCAGTTCCATTTTTGTTTCTCTGCTAGTTGGAAAACGGCAAATCTCATGAAGTGCTGAAAACTTGGTTTGTCAAAGTGATTCTGGAATTCTGGAAACACAGCCAGTAGCTAGGGCTCATGTGGAAGGGAGGAGCCAGCAAGGAGGAGTCCAAGCAAGTGTTAGTTCTTAGGCCTTAGTTTGAGCTAAGAGAGGGTGACATGTCCAGTTTGGTGGAGGCCTGGACCTCTGGGGGGACCCGTTCAGCATATGTTCCAGCCATAGTACTTGCTCTTTTCGGGGTGCAGGGCCTTGCTGAGAAGTAGAGGAAGTGACGAACCCCCCAGGAAAATGGTTTTATTGCACATACCATTCTGCTTTAATTCCCTCCCTCATTGTGTTTGTGGACCCCAGATTAAGGGCCCCATTCTCAGTTTTATGAGGAAACAAACATTGCGCCTAATACTTTTGGGGTCTGTTCCCACCAGCACAGTAGTTTCCTGATGATAGGGATAGAAAATGGCAGTGTCACTGAAGAGGACCGTGTCATCAGCAAATGGTGGAGGTAACAGGCAGGAAAACTGGACTTCATGGAAGTGATTCAGGAAGAAGCCTTCACAAGACTTCCTCAGGACAAGTAGAGGTGCAGGCAGAGATTCTGCTACAGAGTTGACCTTTCCAGAGAGGAACTGTTGGTCTGGGAATTTTAAGGAGCATTTTCTTTTGCATAATGCAACACAGGTCCTCACTGGACAGGAAATGGCTTGGTAACCTGCATGTCCAAGAAGGAGACAGTGTCAGGGCTGTAGGTGGCCAAGGGCAGTTGAGTCCTTTGCCCTACGGCATTTGATTTGATTTTAGGATGAATCTGGAATTGTTTGCTCTTCTGTAAACCCCAGGACATTAGCATGCCATCTAATTCAAGCCTCGGGCCCTGGGTGCTTGATACCGAGGTGGTTTAGCTATCTTCAGGGCTAGTCTGAGGTCTCCATCTGTGAGCCCCCTGAGCATAAGGCCCAGTGCATGTACAGGGTGCTTTGGGGACACATGAAGGGGTAACTGAGTCACTTTGCTTTTGGAAGGCTGGGGAGGGGCCCTGTATGTGAGTTTTGAGGAATGCACAGCTCACCAGGGGCAGGGGCAGGAGAAGCTGGGGAGGGGGCACCAACTGCAGGCCCAGGAGGGGCTGGTGTGCAGGGGAAGTGACACATGGTGTTTAGCAGGGAATAGATTGTGATGTGCCTTCAAGGGGGGACTGAAGTCAGGAGCAGGAAGCAGGGTCTAGAGGCTGGGTGACAGGGCAGTGTGACAGGGCAGCCAGCCTGGTTTCCAGGAGGTGTTTCCAGTTTCCTCTGATTTGCCTGCGACTCGGCTGAGTGTGTAGGTGAAGTGGCATCGAGGGTGAGACATGGAGGGCAGGATTTCCTGGTCCTCTTCTAGAAGAAGCCTCTGGCCATAGCAGCTGGGCTGCTCACCTCTGGGGACAGAGCAGAGCCTGGGCCTCCACCGAATGCTGAGCAAGCCCAGCAGGTTTGTCCTGCGGTCTGCTCTCTGTTTCTCTCCTTCCTTGGGAAGGAGCCACTTGGGAAAGTGAGGGTAAAGGTATTTCTCACCTCTCTGGAGACTGCAAAGTTGAATTACTGATTAATAAAGTGTCGGAAGTTCCTTGGGCTATAGAGATGAGTGGGTTTGTCCCCATCTCTGTTGAAGCCCAGGAGCAAGTGTTAGCTGACTCCAGTGCCATTCAGTGAGTGTGCCAGGCACAGGGCGGGCCTGCAGGGCGGGGCTGCTTGGGAGCCTAATGCTTGCTGCAGGAAGAGTGGAGGACAGAGGGAGTGAACAAGGCCCACCAGGGACTCAGGTTGACATTGAAGGGAAAACATGACCCTGCGGACCATTGGGGTCAAGGGGAGCTTCCTGCAGGGGTGGCAGGAGGACAGGCTCTGCCCAGGAGAGGAACTGCTCCATGACACCTGGGAGGGAGGGCTGCAGAGCCTGATGTCATCACGGGGACAGGAAGGGGAAGGAATGGGTGCCTGTGAGGGTGGAGAGGTCCTGGGGGTGGGGAGGACATTCCTGGCTGGTGAGCATAGACAGTTGGCCCTTGGAAAAAGACAGACAGATAGACACACAGCTAGAACCAGACTCAGCTCACTATGGGCAACTGAAAGAAAATGATATTCAAGTTTGCTTTTAAGGACTGAGGGAAGGCCCTGAGGTCCAGAGAGGATGAGCAGGGCCAGGGCAGCCCAGGGGAAGGGGGCCTGGGCAGCAGTGGGTGGGGCAGTGGGTGGATGGAAAGGTGTGATGGGGCCAGGGGTTCATCGAGGGAGGCATTCTCCAGAGCACATGCTAAGGCAGGAGGTGCCAAAAGCCTCTGTAATCACCATAAATAATATCATGATATTATTACTGATTTTTTTCCCTTTGCCCCAAGCTCTAATGTAACCAGTACTGTCACTGAACCTGTATTTTTCTTATTTTGTTCATCATGGATTTTTTTGTTGTTGCATTAATTTCGATTTTTTAAAATACTGCATTAGGGCTGGGGTGTAGCTCGTGGTGGAGTGCTTGCTTGCCTGGGATGCACAAGGCCCTGGGTGCATTAAAATATGACATATCCTGACTACTAAAGGTTTTGACACCCCTTAAATTTTGCACCCACTTCACCCTAGTCCAGGTGGGGCCACTCATGAGGGCTGCACACTGAGGGAGGGCCCCACTGCCCTGACCTTAGCTAGACTAGCAAAGGGCATTCCACCCTCCATCTCATGCTCCTGCTGCAGAATCCCAGGGTGGGCTCCAGAGCTAAGAGTCTGGCCCTGAGTTCAGCCGTGCATTTCACAGCAGGTGCAGAAATGGGCTGGGGCTGAGACATCTGGACAGAGGGACGGGCCCAGAGGAAAGAGCAGGGGAGCAGAGCAGGGCTGGTGAGGAGGAAAGCAGTCTCCGGGTTCAGCGTCCTGCTTGGAAGCTCTGTAGGAGGGTAATTTAAGGAGGCTAGCCCTCCAGTTGAGGGGTTCCCGCCACTCCCCCTGTCCCCAGCTAGGCTCAAATTCTGGAATCAGAGTGGGATGGAGCCTTAAGGGAGGTTAAAGAGCAAACAGGGCAGCCATCTCTCAGATGTGTTCATCCCGTCCCCGCTCTGCCTCAGTTTCCTCATCTGCAGTTAGGCACAGCTGCTCTGGCCCCAGGAATAATTAAGCCATGGTAGATGTTAAAGGACCTGATACACAGCGAGGCACAATTTGTAGTGACTGGTAATAAGCCAGGTGGGAAACAGAGCCCAGGAAGCAGCTCATTAAACAAGAGGTCAGGAGCACTGCTGCTCTGGAGCCAGACAGGTGTGCTAATGAGGGTCTGTGAGCCCATAAAGCTAGCAGCAGCAGGCAAGTGGGAGGGCATATGTGTATGTGTGTGTGTGGGGGGGGGGTGCGTGCATGTGTGCACATGCACAGGAATATAGTTGGGCCGTGCTTGGGATCCATGGTGATTGAGGTGGCTTCCTCCAGCACAGCCTCTGTGCTACAGGCTGCTCCTCTTACCACCCTCTGTTCTAGGTCCCCTCTAAGCAGGCAGCTCCAGAGCTTCCAGACCAAGAGGATGCGAGTGAGCAGGGCCAGGAGACTAGGGGCAGGGGCTGGGAAGAAACTGGATGTAGGAGGGGAAGGGGGCAGAGACAGGAAACAGCAGACTAGGCTGCTCATGGCATCCACCTAACCGTGTCCCTTGCCTCCCTGTGCCCACAGGCCCTTCTCCTCCTGGGGCTGAACCCTGTCTCCACCTCCCTCCAGGACCAGAACTGCGAGAGCCTGTCCCTGGCCAACAACATCTCTGGTGAGTCTTCTGCCCACTTTTGCAAGATGCGAGGTCACTACAGTGTCCCCTGCCACAGAACTCCCAAAGTCTGTGCACAGAACCATGCCTGGGGGCAGAAACGGCAGAGAGACTTCCCCTCCAGGACTCTAATCTATTTTCATGTCTCCCTACTATCTAGGAGGATGCTAAAGCTGGGTGTCCATTGGTGAGAAAGAGAACTAGTTAGCCAGCAGCCTGTGCCGTGGGCAAGTACCCCAAGCAGTCACCTCCCTGCTTTAGGATGGGCCACAGGGGAGGGTGTCCCAGCCCCTGCTGCCAGGCTGTGACTCGAGGACATCAGGTGAGGGAGAAAGATTGTTGCTTCCTGCTGCTAAAAGTGCCCAGAGTCACCTCCATGGGCTGCTGACCGTGCTCCAGGCACTATTCAAGGAGTACACAGCGACCTTCTGAGGGAGCTTGACACATAAAGAAACTGAGGCACAGAGACATACTAGTAAGTGCCGGATCCCAAGGGTAGCAGGTGGCCAGGCTTCTGGACATGCTCCGAAACACAGGGCTTTAGACCTCCCCAGTGGGAACTATTGTACGGATGCAAATGTTGCTCATGCCTAGAACTTAACCGCTTACAAGGGGCTTTTGTATTATTATCTTATTTCATCCTCATAAGAGTTGAAAACCTGACATTCATCCAGAAGGGAAGATTGAGGTGGGAAAGAGTTCTTAGGTCTCCCAGAAACACACCATCAGTGGCTGGGACCCAAATCAAAGTCTTGGGGCTCCCAAGGCCAGGCCTTCGCTAACTTTGGGCATCATCCTAGGAATGTCTGGTACCAGGCAAAATGCAGCAGTCTCCTACACCTAGGGGTCCTTGGGAGGGTTGATGTCTTGTATTGATTTAGTTCCTCCTCAAGGCTTTCCTTGATTCATTAGCTGAGCACCTACTCTGCAGCAGGCCCTGTGCAAGGGGGTAGGGGAGCTCCCAGTCTCTAGGTCTCCCATGCAGGTACTAAAAGGCAGAGTGAGAGACGCACTGGCCGAGAGAGGGACTGGAGTATGTTAGCAGATCAGGAGGCATCAGTTCCTGCAGCTGGGCCTGCAGGGACAGGAGGCTTCTGCAACTCAGAGCAGCTGTCACCTGGCCTGCTGTTCCTTCACCAGACAGGGCTGGGGGAGAGGGGTGAGTACTGGGCGTGGGCAAGGCAGACTGACTTCTTGTGCTGGCTGATAGGGAGGGCTCGGGCATGTCCTGGCTAGGAGGAGGAAGACGGGCAGCCACAGAGGCAAGCATGCCTTTAACCCCTTGGAGCCAGGCTTTGTCTGATGGTAAAGGGAGAGGTGACTCCTGCCTCCGGACCTGTCAGAGGTCAACGGCACTGAGTTTGTGGATGTTTCTGCAGAGTGCCAGGCCACTACTGGGTATGATGATGATTGCCTATGCCAGCGGCTTTTAAAGGTGCTCTCTGTATGTAGCTAGAAAGAAGGGAAGGTCCCTGTCACCAACTGCTTGTGACAGTGGAGGTGGCAGGAAGGCAGGACAGGGTTGGGGTGAATCCTAGCAGCCTTCCTAAAGGACAGGTGTTTCAAGGTGAGTCTTTTTTGGGGGGAGGGGGAGTGCTGGGGATTGAGCGCAGGGCCTTGTGCATGCAAGGCAAGTGCTCTACCAACTGAGCTACATCCCAACCCATCAGATGAGTCTTAAGAGAGATTCTGAGAGCTGGCAAAGATCCAGCACCTGAGCCAAAGCAAAGGTGCACTGGGGACCAATAAGTGGGCTTGGGGGAAGGACCAGCGCTGGATGAGGAGGGAGGGACATTAAGCCTGGGGAGGTGCTGGAAGCCCACAGCATCAGGCTGCAAACTGGCAAAGCTGGACTGTGGGGAAAGGAGATTCACGCCCAGTCAGCAAAGAAGGAGATGGGGAGGGAGGAGGCCCAGGGGGAGTGACTGGGTACCAGGTCAGGCTCCATTAACTTGCTTGTTGTGTTCAAGAGGAGTGACATCCCCGAGCCCATGCAGGTGTCACCTGTCCTTGGCAGCAGCGGGCCTTGATGAATGGTATTCATTCCCTGGTGACTTGTACTGGGTGCCCCCACCCCCAGCCCAGCCTGCCCGGCTTTGTAGCATGCAATCCATCACCCTCCAAACAGCCTCTGGTAACGGGCCATTTGTCTTCTGATGCCGAGACCTACCCAGAGCGATGGGCATTGGTAGAGACAGATGGTGAGGGTGGGGCCAAGGGGCCGGGACAGATGGATGGGCGTCTGGCTGGGGCAGCTGGCACTGAGCCGGGACTTTTGTGGGGGGGCTCTCACATGCTTCATGCCAGGAGCAGGGAGAGGCTGGTCCCCAGGGCTGAGGCCCATCATGTGGCATATCACAGACTTGGCAAACTTAAAATCATGGCATGAGGACGACCATGCCAGGAAGTGATAGAATTGCCAACTAACAACATCACAGACAAATGGAATCAGAGTTGACGAGGACCTGGGGTCATCAGTTCCCATTTCTTTCTTAAGGAAGTGAATGATAGTAATTACTTAGTGCCCACTCTGTGTTTGTTGGATATGATTCAAAGTGCTTCATATCATCCAGTATCACAAAAATATAGCCAGGAAGAATTTTTACCTGCAAGAGGAAACTGAGGCACTGAGGGATTGAACAACTTGCCTGAAAACACACAGTTACTAAGCACTGACAGCGAGATTTGAGCCAAATGGGTCTGATTTCAGACTTAACTACCAGTATCACATTATGTGGCCACTCAGAGATCCATGGTGCTCAGAGTCCAGTGTAGTCAGCCATCTGGGGGTACAGGGCCACCACTGAAGTTTCCCATACTAATACTGGATTTGCGCATGGCCCCAGTTTTTTCTTAACATCTACTATATGCCTGGCACTATACAGAGAGAAGAGTGTGCAAACCCCACCAGGCCAGGAGGGTCTGTGGCATCTTTCTTCTCTGGCCAACCAAGAAGGAGGCAGCTCAACCATTAGGTGGCCAAGTAAAGACCAGGGCTCTGACTGCCCTCTGCTGCCCTCTGTATGCTGTGCCACCCTGGCAGACAGATGTTCTTCCCACTCATCCCAGAGGTACATTCTTCTGAATGTGTTTCAGAGGTTGCTCTAGGGCCCCTGGCAGCTGCCACTCAAGGCAGCCTTTAAATTCAGCCTCCCCTGGAGTTAAGCCAGACAAAGGGATGGGCTTCCCACCTGCCAGGATGCTGCCAAGAACCCCTGCATCTTGTCCAGAAGCCCTGATGGGAGACAGGAGTCAGGTTCCAATTTCCTTCTGAAATTAGAGCACAGTTGGACCCTAAGCCTAATGGGAAGGGAACTGCAAAAGAAACTAGGGCCCAGTTGTGCACAAGCCACCTTCAAAAGGTCTCTATTCTTATGTGAATGAAGGTGTGAGCCACCCAGTAATAAGGAGGTCAACACCTTAGGTACAATAAGCACCCTCCTGCCTCAGGGCTTTGTACTTCCTGCTCCCTCTGCCTAGAGCATACTGTCCCAGCTATGCTCCTTCCCTCGCTTCCTTTAGGTTTGCAATTAAGTGCTATTATTTTATAAAAATGCTAAATTAAAACAGCACTGTCAGTCTTTATCTCCCTATAGTGCTTAGTTTTACTTCATAGTATTTCTCACTGGTTAACATATATGTTTGTTTGCTTATTGTCTCCCCCCAAGTGGGATGCAAGTACCATGCCGGCAGGGCATTTATTTTATTCATTACTTTACCTCTGGTCCTTGTTATTTTTTAGGTGTTACTTAAGTGCTTCTTGAATAAAGAGCAGTCATTCTCTTCTGTCTGTGCCTTAACTGACCAGGAGCTGCCGGAGGAGTTGACTCCTAACTGCAGCTCACCTTTGCGCTGTGGCTGGCCAATGGGCTCAGCTAGTGGCAAGGCTGGCTTACTCTGAATCAAACTGCTCCTCATCCCAGAACTGTGAGGTCCAGGTGTAAGAATAACCCCAGGAGGGTAGAAGAGGCTGGACATTTGTGACAATGGGACCTGGAGGGGATGTTGGCCCAAGAATCCAAGTCCAGCAGCCCTGAAGGTCCTTATTATGGTCACCAAGCTGTGACATGGAGACTTCCTTCCTGCCTTCTCCCTTGCCAGCTGGTAGATGGACACCCTCCTTATCTTCTGAAATTATCTGTCTTCCTGGCTTTCCCTCTGCCCCTTCCTCTCTTATCCTTAGTGTCTTTTTTTTTTTTTAACTCTCTTCCCCTCTTTTCTCTCTCCCCTCCCTTTCCCTCTCTACCTGACTTGGTTTCTTCCCTCCCACCCCTCTTTTCTCCCCCTCAAAGAGTGGCTAGGTAGATTGAAGGAATGGCCTGAATTGCCTAAGGTAAAGCGCCCTTCACAGTGCCTGGTATACGGTAGTGTTAAACAAATGTTGTTGGTTCCCCTGCCCCGAGTCCTGTACACCAGTCCCCTAAGGGACACCCCCCACCCCGCTCTCGTCCTTCCCGGATGCGGTGTCCGCAGGGCCGTGAGCTGAGATCTTGTAAGTGCCACTTGTGGGACTGCGCCCGGGAACACAGTGCCGGAGGCCGTCTCTTGCTGCCTCCTCCCCGCCTTTGACCTCCGGGTCCCCTTTCCATCGTCCACTTTTCCTTTACTCCCTGTTCTCTCGCTGCCTCTGCCTCCTCTTGTACTTCAAAACCACAGGCCAAACTCCTAGCGCAAGTTCAGCGGCTCTTTCCACAGCTCTGCCGCAAAGCCCCGCCCACCTGACTGACCACGCCCCTCCGAGGACCACGCCCACCCATCTTTGAGGCCCAGACAGGCGTGCTGGTCTGACTCTGGAGCAAGGGACGTCTTTGTCGCCTGCCCCTTGCATTTGGCTTCTCTTCTTGGCCCCTGCAGCCTTCCTTCCTCTCTTCCTGCCTCGCACATAGATTTCTACTCCATCCAGGATTTTCTGGGCTCTTAATGCAAAGGCCCCAGGCGCCACTTCCGTGCAGTATCCGTACAGTCTACTTCGAGCGACTGGAGGCGCGGGCTGGGACCCGAGGGCAGCCCCAGGGAAGGCAGAGTCTTCTCTGAGAGAATGTGCGTTAGGCATGTTCCAGACACTGCCACCTATGGCATCCCTTTTAATATTCCCAGTGCCTAGCTCAGGAGATACGGTGACCGAATGAATGAATGAACAACCGATGAGGAAGGAGCAATGACATCATTCGCACCTGGTGCGTGCCTGGCACCCAGTCATCCCTAAATGCTCCCTTCCCCGTTGCCTCCTTGACTGCCCCCCACACACTTTATTGCCACACAATATGGTGCAATTGAAAGAACACTTAATTTAGAGTCAAAAACATCAGGCTGAGCCAGGTGCAGTGGCACAGGTCTGTAATCTCAGCGGCTCAGAAGGCTGAGACAGGAGGATCGAGAGTTCAAAGCCAGCCTCAGCAAAAATAAGGTACTAAGCAACTCAGTGAGACCATGGCTCTAAATAAAATACAGGGCTGAGGATATAGCTCAGTTGGTAGAGAGCTTGCCTTGCATGTGCAAGGCCCTGGGTTCAATTTCCAGTACATCTCCCCCCACCCAAACAAAAACATCAGTCTGTGAGTCTTGACTCTTTTACACTTTGACTTATGACCTTGGACAAGTCACTCAACATCCCTGGGCTTTGATTTCCTCATCTGTAAAGGAAGGGGGAGGGGAGACATTGGAGGAGACATTGGAGGTTGGATGAGGATCGAACCTAAGAGAAGAAGAGCTTTGAAAAAAGCAGAGCGGAGTTCACAATTTTATCCCCCTCCCCGCTGCCACATGCCCCTGGCGTCCCCTCCTCTGGGCTCAGCACTATCAGCATGATCCATGACAGATTGAAATCCCAACCTGGCACACCAGGGCTTTGCAGAGTGCTGCCTTCCTCACTCCCCCACTGCTCTGCGATGCCATCAGGAGGCTCAGCTGCAAAATAGCACCCTCCTGGCTCACCCCAGCACCTGGCCTGCCCCAGCTCCAGCCCCTCCAGTCCAGATTTCTTTCTTTTAATTAAGCCACTGGTCTTGAGGTCTCTGCCCCCTGAGCCCTGATTTGCACAAATGCCCCATGAGTAGCTTTGATCAGAAGGAAAAGCCAGCATTTGGTACCCATACAGCTCCGCACTGCCCTGATCCAGCAGGGAGAGGAAGCCAATTTAGCCCACTGCTGTTTCCTGAGATTGGAGACAGGCTAATTTGGGGAGGAAATGGCAGACAGGCCAGCCAGGGCTTGGCAGCTGCTGATGCCCAGTACCAAAGAGGCTGTCCCCTACCTGTATGGATCATGGCTCCCTGGCTTGTCTGTACATTTTGTGCCAGTTCCAAGTTATTAACCCTTTCTGCCATGATGGGACAATGGGTCTCAGCAGGACTGGTGAACCAACCTCATGCCCAGAGGGGTATAAAGGCAGAGAAAGAGGGGAAGCACCAGGGGGGATGCCAGGACGATGCAGGGGTGCTTAGCTCCCACCCTGGAGACTACTTCCCTCTACCCTCCAGAAGTGTCACTGAGGCCTCAACTCTACCCCAACACACACACACACACACACACACACACACACACACAATGTCTCTCCTTTTTCCCCACTCCCCCCCCAAATTTCTTTATCAGAGGAAAATATTAATGTTTGAAGGGGCCTTTAATAATCTTTTTCTAGTTCAACTGTTTATGAGTCTTCAGAATCACAGACCCCATCGAGCATCTAATGATAGCCGTAGCACCCTTTCTCCATTAGAACGTGTATACGCCAAAGTTTTCATTATATTCCAGATCTCTATGAACCCCTGAGATTCCCAATGGATGGAGATTAAGGATTTCTGATCTCAAGCCGGGGGTGTAGCTCAGTGGTAGAATTCTTGCCTAGAATGTGTGAGCCCCTGGGTTCAAGCCCCAGGACTGAAAAAAACTGATCTGATCCAACCACTTCATTTTATTCTAGAAGAAAACACTAAGGCCCAGAGAGATTTGCCTATGGTCATGGAGCAAATTAGTGGCAAAGCCCATTCTGAGCCATGGGCCCAGACTCCCAGTTCAGTGCCCTGAAGGTGTCCCCTCCCTTTTCTCCACATGGGCCCAGGTCCCAGTGCAGACCAGAGCACAGAAACCAGGAGCTCAGTAAGTGCGGCTGTCAGACCAGCTGGTCGACCTGGCTGTGCTGCATCTTCCCTGCAGGGTTAGGGCAGATGTGGTTTGGTTCCAGAAATACATGAGGAGCCTGGGTCAGGAGTTGACTGGACCTGTTCCAGAGTGTTCCTGTGAAGTTTTGGAGCTCTAGTCTGTTACCAAGGGTGGGGTCAAAAGATGTGTCCCCAAGAACAGGAGACCTGAAACACACCCAGCCATCTTCCAAATGCCAACCAGGACCTTAGATTTCAACTCTACTTCCAGCCATCTCTGTTTCTCCTCTGCTCTAGAACTCATGCTGGCTCCAGACTCCTTCCCCGGGTGTCTCCTCTCATAGACAGGCTCATTTCTGCACCCGGGGCCATTGATTTTGTCCTGTCTCTCTGTGATTGGGAGCAAGTGCGGGGAGGGGAAGGGCTGTGGAGTGTCTTCTGCCTGGAGAAGGGATCCTGCTCTGCTCACCAGCCATCTCTGTCCCCAGGGCTGCAGTGCAACGCCTCCGTGGACCTCATTGGTACTTGCTGGCCCCAGAGCCCTGCAGGGCAGTTGGTGGTGCGGCCCTGCCCTGCCTTTTTCTACGGTGTCCGCTACAACACCACAAGTAAGAAGAAGGTAGAGGGTGGAGCATCTGCTGGGGTGGGGTGGCGTGAGAAGAGCTTGAAAGTGGGGAAATAACAAGCTACAGCCATACTAATAATACCTTTTGAGGGTACCACCACCACTGCAAAGCCCACTCTGTGCTGACTCTCACAATACCAGGCAGCACCACCTGGCATAAAGCTAAGCCTTCGAAGCTCAGAGAGGTTAGGGAACTTGCCCAAGGAATGCCAGCTGGTAAGAGGTAAAGTTGAAATGTCTGTGTGACATTTTCTCCTATAGTTGGCCATCTTTGGATTAGTCTATTGAGACCCACAGCAACCCCATGAGGTAAGGCAGGGATCTTTCGAAGAGCCCCAACTTTGCAGATGATAGCTCAGGGCCCTCCAACCAGGACATGGGGCAGGGGCTTCACTGCCTCCCAGGGGTGCAGTGGGGCAGGACTGACCCAGGGCTGTGCAGATACTTGATCCCCTGTAAACACCACGCTCCCCTGAGGCCCCACACATTTGCGCCAGGCTTTGCAGCTCCTTGCTATAGCACCTGCCACCCGCAGAATTAATTTGCTCTCTCCTGTCAATGACTCAGATCCCTGCATATGGAGAGAAGAACAGCTGCAGACCAGGGGCCTTGACTCACCCGAGAGAAGCTGGGGATGGGGTTCCCTGCCTTGGCCTTTGGGTCCAGTAGGCCTGAGCCCAGAGCCCCAAGAGTATGCCAAAGGCGACTGCAGATGCTAGTGGTCCACTCTAAGACTTGTTGCATGATCGCAGCTCATATTTTTCCCTCTGCTGGGGAAGATTCCCCTCTGAGGATTGAGGGGGCTGGATGACCTGGTTTCTAAGGCTTCTTCCAGCTTGAAGCCCTCCTGCCCCTTTTTCCTTTACAAGACAGAATTAAATTTGGGGGCTATGCCAAGGAGGCGTGGGAGGACTGGGAGGGTGACTGTGACCCTCTCCCGGGGGCTGCTAGGGCAGAACAGGAGGCTGGAACAGCCCTTCCAAGCCTCTGTGTTCATCTGTAACCATGTGCTGGCTATGGGAGGGATCAGGGAGGAGAAGAAGGACTGGGAGGAATGTGGGGACTAAGGAGAGGAGACCCAGGTAGGAGAAGAGGAGCAGGGCCTAGGAGGCCAAGGAAGCCAAAGAGGAGAGTTTGCATCGCAGTGGGCCAACCTCCAATTTAGGAGGGCTCATTTTGAATAGTGAGATTGAGGCACAGAGAGATTAATAACCTGCTCGAGGTTAGAAAGCTTGGAGGCAGAGTCAGGCCCAGAGAGCCAGAGCCTGCCCAGTGCTCCGCGTACCATGCTGAGATCTTCGGGAGCTCCTGGGACAGCTGCAGTTCCGAAGTTGGCATACTGGCACATCTGGCCTCCCCTACAGCAACACCAGAACCTGCTGGTCCCAGCCTCTCTGATCTCCAACCGTAGTTCTGAATCTGAACCCGTTGCCCTCACTTGGAATGCATCTTCTGTGGCTCCCGTTGCCCCCGCAGTTGAGTCCCTCCTCCTGCGTGGGCCTGCGAGCTCTTGCAGACATGGTCCTGCTTATTTTTGCACCCAGTCCTGGCTGCTCCCCATAAGCACCCTATACTCTTGTCCCCCAGGGTTACTTTACATGCCCCAAATAATCACCGTTAGGCCTTAGTGCTGGGCAAGTGCTACTCAATTTGCTGGCCCTGCCTTCAGTGGAAACCAGGAATCCTGGGTTCCAGTGCCAGCCCATCTGTCCCTCTGCCCTGGTCCTCTCTGGGCCTTGGTTTCTCTACCTGCAGGATGGGGTAGAGAAAGGCTCCTTGCTTTTCCTTCTGTGACTCCAGGAAAGAAGCAGGGGCCCCTTGATGTGGGGGACATTTCCGGGCAGGGCTGGAAGATCCCCTTTGCAGGTTGTCCCAGTGCCAGATGATGAGGAATGTGCCTGCCTGTGCCATCAGGAGGAGTGGAACCAGAGCTGCTCCTAATCATTAGGCACTAATTAATTCATTTACTGATGAGGTGTTGCCAGGATTTCTAGGCTTCTCCTTAATGCCCTCCCTCCTGCTCATCGGATCTTCAAAGGGATGGGAAACATTTCCAAAAATATCCATTTTCCCGTGATTCTTTGGGAGGACTGCTCAGCTCAGCAATTAAAGACAAGGAGGTCGCATCCTCCCTGGCAACGGCACCCAGCGGGTGGGGCCTGTTTTCCTTCGGGGTCACCTCCTCTCTCCAGGTCAAAGCCTGCTGCCTAGGATGGCCCGGCCCAGAGAGGGATTCCACATGCCCCACCCCCTGTGTGGGGTGCCTTCCCATTAGCTCCACCAGCACCCCCTTTGATCAGGACAAGTGGCACGTTCTGAATGTTATATAAGGTAATATAAATATTGCTCCAAGACAATAATAATAAACATCACAGCGATACCATATGTCAGGCACAGTTCTAAGTAAAACCCTGCACCAGTGAGGTGGAAGTCATGAATAGGACGGCTCCATCTCATGAATAAGGACACTGAGAGATTGAGTGACTGGCCTAAGGTCACACAGCCAGTGGGGGTGACTCCAGGGTCTGCAGGAAGCCTGCCTGGGTGGAGGGCTCAGCTCTGAACACTCTTTCATGCTGCCTCTCTTAAGGCAAAAACTGCATGCACAACCCCCTGCCCCTGCGCCCTTCCCACCAGGTCTCTGCCCCCAAGCCCCTCTCTTTGCAGACATTCCAGAGCAGCCTCTGGTCCCAGGCAGTTCATGTCCATTGTAGAGATACTGCATTCCCTTAGTTCCTGGCTTCCCAGTCCCCAAAGAACTTTCAGAGCACCCCATCATGGTGCCCTCTGCCCTGGGGGGAGCTTAGCCCTCCTTTAGCAATTAGGAGAGCCCTGCCACCTCATTGTCATTTCTGCCCAGGGCTGGGCACTGCACCAGACCAAGGTCCACTCACAGAGAGGCTGGGCAGAGCTTTACAAATCCACCGAACCCCATTTCCCTTCCAGTTCCGCGCAGCCAGAGCGCTACTTGGGCTAGAAAGGAGGCCACCGCCTTTCAGTCCAGGAGGCCAGGTTGAGGCTCCCTCTCTTGGGCTCAGCATCAACTTTCCTGCCCCACCCCCCAGCATCTCCCTCTGGTCCTGATGCTGCCAGCAGAGAGGCAGCTCCAGGCTAATGGTCCCATGGGAACCGTTGGAGCAGCTCCCTTTTATAAATGAGGAGAGGGCTCTGGCTTCCTCCCAGAGCTCTGTCCCTATGGGTTTCCAAGCCCAAGGACCAGAACTCAGCAGCTTCCCCAGTCCTCCTCCAGCTCTGTGGGTCAGTGAGAGCCGCAGAGAGGCCTGCAGAGGCCAGCAGAGATGGCTCAGGGCTCATTCTCTTTTGCAGTCAGTGAATTAAGTCAAGGAAACAGGATAAAGCTACTGATGCCAGAGAGGGATCTGGGGTGGCATAGGACAGCCTCACCAGCAGAGGAGGCAAGACAGAACTTAGAACCCTTCTGTCCCTTCCCTTCTGAATTTATGACCCTGGTGTCCAGGGGGAGGGGGTCAGGTAGAAAGGCCAGTAAAAGGGACCCTTTAGGCAGCTCTGTCCATCCCAGAGCTCCAAAGCCAGGCAGCAGCCCTTAGGGTTTCTTGGAAGGTGACAGTTTGGGGCTCAGTTCTGGCTGATGGCTGCACAAACACCCACCCTTCCCAGACCATGCTCCTGCCTTCTTTCCCAAGTGCCGCAGGCCAGGCCAGGAGCAGTTGTAGCAGGTTCTAGTGCAGTAAGATCACTACCAAGCAAGACTCACCCGGTCACCTGGCATTTTCTGTCCAAGAATCCTCCCCCCATGTTCCTACCACATGACCCTCCAAAATAAAGCCTGCTTTGGGGCAATGCCACCAGGGGACCTTCCTCAAGACCTTCCCAGTGAGCCCCCACCCCACATGAAACCCTGCCACACAAGAACCACCCTTGGAAACCTCCACCACCCACAGTCCTACAAGGAACCATGTCATTTAAATCCACTTGAGCTGTCACCACATACCTTCCCCCAGATCCTGCCCAGCTGTGTGAGCACTGACTCAGGGACCTCATCCTCCTTTTCTGCTGTGAACCCAAATGGGAGCATCTCAGAAGAGCACCCGCCATGAAATCTGCCACCTTATCAGAGCCTAGAGGGAGGCACCCAAGGGGTAGCCATGCTTGTTCACAGGCCAGTTCTGTGGCAAGTTCACGTCAGCTTAGGGGCAGAGCCGTGTCACCCAGAGGCAGTGGCTGCTGTAGCCCTGTGGGAGATGAGTGGATGGGCAGGAAATGGGATGATAAGAAAGGCTTCCATCCAGAGGCCCAGTGCTGGCCCAGATGAATGGATGAACAGACAGACAGACAGATGCCAAGCTATCACAGCTCTCTTCTTTTTCCAGACAGTGGCTACCGGGAGTGCCTGGCCAATGGCAGCTGGGCGGCACGTGTGAATTACTCTGAGTGCCAGGAGATCCTCAGTGAGGAGGTGAGCTGAGCTGGGCAGGCTGCCACCCAAGGGGTCGGCCAGGAACCCCAGCGTGAGCTGGATGCGAAGTGGCCAGCTGGGGCCTGGGGGGCAGAGGTGATGTCAAGGCCCTGCCCCAGGGAACATGACCGGCAGCTGCTAGGCAAGCTATACAGGGACAAGTAGGGTCCTGGTTCCTTCCCCCCCACCTCCGTGCCCACTGGAGGCTGCCTGCTGGGGGTGTAGTTAGTTCAGACTACAGACATGGTTGTGGGGTTCGCACCCATTTCTACCCCACACACCTGAGCAACACCAAGGTCCATGAGGACTGTCAGAACCAGATATGGAAGTAGGGGTAGTGGTGCCATTTTAAAAAGCCCCGGAGATCCTTTTAAAAATTTAAGTGTTTTGAGTAGATATTGCTTACACATAATACAAAATTCAAAAAGTACAGATGGGAATACAGTGAAAAGTCTCCCTCCCACCTCTGTCCCCAGCCAGTGGATTCCCTCCCCAGAGACAGCCGATTTGCCACTTTCTTGAGTGTTGTTCTGCACGTACAAGGAATTACGTGTGCGTGTACTTTTTTGGTTTTACCCAAATGTCACATATCATACATGTTCCTTGACACCTTGCTTTTTTCATGTAGCCATCTATCCTGGAGACCCTTCCATGTCATTACAAAAGAGCATTTTCATTCTTTTTACATTTGCACATGCCCCATGGTCCATCTATGCCATAACTTACTGAACCGACCTTTATTCTCAGTCTTTGGTCCTTACAAACAGTACTGCCATGAATTCTCTCTTCCGGTGACATTTGGCAGAGGCACGAACGTCTCCATCCAGTGTTTCTGCTACCTCCGTCCCCCTCCGCCCTGTCCCTCTGTCTCTACTCCCTTTATCCACAAGTGCTGAGGGAGACGGGGGTCATGGGCTGGAAGAAATAGAAAATGTAACTGAAAAGCAAAGTGAGCAGAAAGCAAATGGCAGAAGGGAAGCCATCCCAAGCCACCAGGGCCCCTGGCTCCTGGAGCGAGGAAGAGGCTGGTCTAGGCAGTCTTGAGGATTTCATTGCCTTCAAGATCTGAGTTGGAAAGGACCCTGGAGACCTTCCATCCCATCCTGAGTTTCCCAGCCCTTCCTGGTGGTAAGAAATCACACAAGAGCACTTGTTAGCCGCAGAGCTACGCCCAGCACCCAGTAGCTCAAGGTGCCCAGGAGGATCTGGGAATTGGTATTTTTAACAAGTGCCCCCAGGGGAGCCTGCTGATGGGGCCAAAGTGGGAAACCTGGATCTGGTCCAACACCTTCACTTCACAGAAGGGGAGACTGAGGTCAGTGAAGTGGAGAGGCTTGCACAAGGTCACGTAGCCAGAGCCTGGAACCCGGGGCTTCGGAGTCCAGGTACCTGAATGAAGCAAGGTGGTTGTGGAGAGGACATCTTCCCCCCCGCCCCCAGCCCTGAGCACTCTCGTAAGCCCCTCCCGGTTCCTTGAGCTGCTCAGCAATCTCCTTCCAGAAGTTGCAAAGGCAGGTCACTGCTTAGCCTAAATAATGACCAGCTCTTTCACAGTACTGCTCTGGCAGGGCGGCGGAGTTCCTTGGGGTGCAGAATGAGGGGTTTCCTGCCATCTCAGATTTCACAGGTCAGACCTGGGCTGGGCTGGCTTGGCCCAGCATCCCTACTGTCACACCTGAGCACAGAACATCCTGACTGTCAGCCGACCTGGGTGGTCCTGGGGCTGGGGAAGGAGCACCCTCCTGGACTGGAGGAGGGGTATGGGGTCCAGATTAGGAAAGTTGACCAGAGGAGATGGCCTTGGGTGGGTGGTGGGGTGGCCAAGAACCACTCAGAGGGATGGAAAACGCTCCCTGGCACACAGTAGAGGAGATGAGACAGAAGGAACGGGGCTTGGGCTCAGAAAAGCAGATCCGTGCTGTGGTGGCTCTTGAGACCATTGTTCCTGCCCAGTGAGGGTGGCCGTGGGGGAGGTGCAGCTGGGATAGCATCTGTCTTGCAGGACAGATCTTCATCGCACCCACCTGAGGTCTGAGAGCCCTGCTGGATCTGCCATGGCAGAAGTCTCCAGCTGCCCCAGACATCTCCAGCTGTCCCACCATCGGACAGAGGGGCAGACAGTTGTGCCTTTCTTGGACATTGTCAAAGCTGCAGTAACCAGAGTTGTTCTCCTACCGCACCCCCGCATCTGAGCCTCCTGATTGTCAGGGTGAGGTCTTCAGGGTTCCCCGTCTCTCCTGCTCTAACTTAAGACCCTTCCTTCTAGTTGGCTGATGGAGGACACTCAGCAGCCCGTTTCCCCCCAGCTCTCTTCAGAGACTCCAGGGCAGGAGGTTGGTTGCCTCAGTCCTCCCTTCTCCATGTCCTGGAGGCCCCACCTCTGCCTGGGACCTAGGACTCTCCCTCTCTCCACCAGCAGGTTAGGCCAGAAAGGAGGAGAGCATCATTTCTCATGAGCACCCCCACTTTGGCAATATAGTGGGAACAGCATGGCCTTTGGGGGCAGACAATTTGGGGTTTGGAATCTGCTTCCAATGCTGCGTGTGATCTTTTATTTTTTTATTTTTATTTTTTATACTGGAGATTTAACCCAGAGGCACTTTACCTCTAAGCTATATCCCCAGCCCCCTTTTTTTTTTTTTTTTTTTTTTAATTCGAGGTGAGGTCTCACTAAGGAGCTGAGGCCGGCCTCAAACTTGGGATCCTCTTGTCTCAGCTGGAATTACAGGTCATTGTGTGTGATCTTGAGCAAGTGGCTTCACCTTAGTCCCCTACAAGGGCTGAGAATAATTCAGTGGCTGTCCCCTGGAGATTAGGAGGGTGCTGTCTTGGCCTATGGAGGGTACCCACTCACCTGCTACCTCTCTGCCTCTCACCACCGGGGAGATCAGAGGAGGTGGTGGTGTACACAGGAAGGGATGAGAAAACCGTGAGTAGCAGGGACACCCTTTCTCTGTCTTGGTGGAACTGGCCTGCTTGCTTAGCTACTCTGGAATCAATTAATTAGTGAAAACACCATCCCTTCTGAGCCCCTCCAGATGTTGATAGGCTCCTTCTCCTCCCAAGAGGCTTAGCCCCTCCCTCTTGGAGCTGCAAAGAGAAAGTTTCCAATTGGGTGAGTGGCAGGCTGGGCTAAGCCCTAATGAAGTACCAGCGCCCTGGGGTGGAGCAAGTCTGTGAAATGGGACACCCAGAGTCCAGGCGCCCACAGCCAGGACCACCATGGGACAGGTCCCTGATTGGAAAGCCTGATTCATGTGTGGCCCAGCCAGGGGTCGGCAGCAAGTCCCCAGCACCACTCTGCACCAGTTCCCAGTATCAGTCCCCCCTACACACAACTGTGACCTCTACTGTGTCCTTCCCCCCTGTCCCCAACTCTCTCCTGCACCCTTGAATGCACTCAGTGCCCTCCCTTATGCTCTGCTGAGCACATGGAATCTGACCCTCGTGCACATCCTGGAAGGACAGGACTTGAGGACAGTAAAGGTACTTACTCTGGGGATCTGGGGATCTGGGCCAGGACAAGGGTTTCTGAAACATGGTGCTTAGGAACCACGTGGGCTTCTTGCTAAAATGAAGATTCCAATTCTGACCATCTGGAGCGAGGCTCAAACTCCACTCTTCTCAAGACTTCTGCAAGCTCCTGGATGCTGATGTCGCTGGTTCAGGGACCATGCTTTGCAGAGCCACGGATTGGGAATCTGCTAGCAAGATCAGGGGAGCAGTGCAGGAAGCCCAGGTGGAGAGGAAGAGACAATGTGGGTGGGCAGAGATGAAGAGATGAGGCCAGGGTGAGTGGAGGGAGCGTGGAATCCTCCTTGCTGCCATCCGGTCAGGCATAGGGACCGGTCTGACACCACCACCATTTTGGACTCGATAGTGTCTTGGAGACTCTGCTCAAAATCAAACAAGCAGTAATTGCTTGTGAGATTCTGGTCATGGAGGGCATAGCACAGTGGTCTCTGCCCAGTGCCCCTCTGTGTCACCTGCCTCAGGGAACCTGCTATTCTTAGGTATGCAAACTGGATGCGACAGAGTGCTGGTCAGCCCCCTGTGGTTGGCTTTTCCCATGTCCTTTGGACATCCAGCTGCTTCTGCAGTTCTTGGTGGCTGTCCCTGAAGCAGTCACTGTGTCTGGGTGTCCCTGGTCATCTCTTGGAGGGTCATTGGCTGTCCCTTGGGATGTTGCTGGTTATTCTCCTCAGGTGTCATTGGCCACCTCTCAGGGTATCACTGGCTTTTTCTTGGGGGAGGGTCACTAGCCATCTCTCAGGGTGTTGTTGAGTGTCTCTCAAGGAGCAGTCAGCTCAGGACCGTGCTGGCCAAATTTCTTGTTGGTGGTGGAAGTTTCTAGGTGTCTCTGGCTGTTCTGTCCGTGTGTCAACTGGAAAGATTGGTCTTTCAGAGTGTTTGCGACTGTCTTAGTCTGTTTTGTGCTCCTGAGACACATACCCGAGACTGGGTAGTGTATAATGAACAGAAATGTCATGGTTCTGGAAGCTGGGAGATCCAGATGGGGGACTGGCACCTTTAAAGGCCTTCTAGCTGCATCATCTCCTGATGGGAGGGCAAAGAGGGTAGAGGAAGCAGGTGGGGCCCACACTCGCCCCTTGTAGGAAGCACCCATTCCCACGATGACAGCAGCAACCCATTCACGAGGGTGATGCCCTCAGCTCCTGACACCTCTGATAGGTCCCACCTCAAACCCCTCTGCCCTGGGGCTCAAGTTCCCAACCCATGAACTTTGTGGGACACATCCATATCTCAACAGTGGTCCTCTGTCGAGTATCTCTGGCCCTCTCTTAGTGACACTGCTGTCCCTCTAGCCATTTTCTCCAGCTGTTTCTCACTTGTATCAGGCCAGAGGTGGCTTGAACTCAGCCAGACACATCTCAGGAAGTCACATGGAACCTCTGTCCCCCTGGAATGGTCCCTGTTATCACTTTTCAGCCCGCTTGAAGAACACTCGGGAGCTCCCGCGCCCGCTGCAAAAGCCCTCAGAGGATTCTGGGCCCAGCATGAAGGAGAGCTCCCCAGACAGCACCTCGGTTGTCCATCCCTGCTTGTCCCCCAAGAAGTGCACAAAGTCAGGTTTAAATTGCTGGCTGAGTAGCTTGGGCCGGTCATCCAGTCTCTTCGATGGGAAAACAAGGATGCAGTGACCAGTCTCTGAGCCCAGTTGTGAGAAAGAAAAGCAATGACATTGGAGAGGTGCCTGGCTCAGTGCTCAGCATCCAGTAGGTGCTTAATAAATGACTCCTCCCTACCCCAAACCAAACAATCTAGGCCTGCCCTGATGGGCAGAGGCAGGGCCCCTAACAGATGGGCTCCCTGTGACTCTGCTCACTTGTCCCACCTGGGCCTTGTGAGTGAAGCCAGGATGTCCTGCTGTTTGTGGCTCTGCAGATGTTGTCATTACCCAGGGGCTTCTCAGCATGGATTTGTGGAAATTTTAATAAAAGGAAATTAAGTTCCAGCTGTAGACAGGCTCTGATGTGTGTGTGTGTATTCTGGAGCCTCAGGGTTGTGGCATCTGCCAGAGGCGCTTAGAGACCTCTGCATCTGCAGTGGTGGCTCAGGCCCCCTCTTTGTCCCCACCTTGTCCCTCTGTCTCTCCTGCCCTGCCTCCACGTACACGTCCATGGGTCCCAGCCCTTTTGAGGCTGGAGTTGCTAATGTGATTTCGTGGCATGTCCTTGAAAACCTCTACCCTAAAAACAAGTTCCTTCCTGGCCCCGTGAGCTCCATGGGAGGATGTCTCTTTGGAAGGGGTGCTGAGGGAGGGGAAGCGTGGGCGGGAGGGCATGGCCCCTCCGGGATGCCTGCTAGGTGTCCCTTCTTGTGTGTGTTTGGGCCTCGGTTTCTTCATCTGGAGAATGGGTGGGGCTGCTGCCTTGGAGCAGCTCTGACATCCGTGGATCCTGTACTTCTGACAGGAAAGTCCGTGAAGAGCCAGGAGCTCTGCGGTGCTCTGAAAGGGTGAGCAGGGCCTCTGCCAGCCTGTCCTTTCTCGGGTTTGCATATGGCCAGTTCCTGTGCGTCTTAATCCCCTAGCCCCACCCCAGACCAGCAAAGGGTAAAGGAGGGGGATGCCAGCAGGGACCCTCTCTCCAAGCCGCCTGCTTCCGTCTCCCCTGTTCCTTCCTCATAATCGTGGAGCCCAGCTGTGTGCCAGGCTCTGGGTTTCTAGGCCCTACATTCCTGGGACCCAGAAAAGGGTGAGTGGGGGCTGTGCCCTCAGCAGGGCAGAGAGTGAGCCCTGGGCACCAGCCAGTCCCTCGTTGTAGGGCGGGAACCTGTTCATAGTCTTAGCCCCTTGATCTGCATGCGCAGGTATGAGGCAGTTTGGAGGTTGGAGTGGGGCGACCTGGAGGGAGCCCACGTACTTCTGGGGCTCTTTCTATAAAAGAAGTTACAGGTGCCCCTCTGACCCTTCCCTTGGGGTCACCTTGAGGGTCTGAGAACATAACAGACATGAAACCCCTCTGTGACTGCTAAGACTTCCTGTTCTTGGAGCTTAAGATTACTGGAAGGATGGGGGCAGTAGTTTCCTTCTGTATGTTAAATTAATTAAAAAATAAAATTAGGGAATTTGAGAGATCCCGTTCACTTTGAGAAGCCCTGGGCCAGGGAGAGGGAAGGCCCTAGGAAGGGAGCCAAGGAACCTAGACAGGTTTCCTTGGTTGCTAACGATTCTGATCCACAGTGCTCTCACCCCTCTCCTGGCAAATAAGAGCTGGCCGCAGCTACAGAGAGACTTAGGAGTGACCAGGAAGATGGTGACACAATACAAAAATGGGTGGAGGAAAGAGGTCTTGGAGAGCTGAGGTCTCTGCACCCACCAGGGCCACCAGGTGTTAGGACAAGATGGCAGCGTGGACAGGTGTGAGCTTGGAGCTCACTGTGGGCGGCATTCCCGGGGTGTTATGTAGAGATGCCATTTAACCCAGATTTTCCCAACAGCACAAAGCAGTAGGCAGAGCCTGGGATTCAGGGAAGACTGGCTTCAGCTGGACAGTGCTGCTCCAGAGCAGTGCTCAACACCCAGGAGGGCCTGGGGAGGGGGCACCCCAGCATTTCTGCCCACTCTGTCCCCGCTGCCCTGAGCGCTTTGTCCAGCGGGTGCAGGGGCATGGCTATGCAGGAGCCTCACCTCCGCCCCTCTCTTCTGCTTCAGAAGAAGAGCAAAGTGCACTACCACGTCGCCGTCATCATCAACTACCTGGGCCACTGCATCTCCCTGGTGGCCCTCCTGGTGGCCTTTTTCCTCTTTTTGCGACTCAGGTGAGAAGACCCTGGCACTGCCTGCTGCTGTCCCTGGGTCCTCGAGCAGGGCAGGGGAAGTAGGATGCAGGGCAGCCCTGGGCTTCTGGGAAGGGGGCATTGCCTCTGCCTTCAGTGGGAAGAGGGTGGCATACATGGGGGTCTTGGAGCTTCAGGAAGAGCCTGTCCTGGTGGCCTGTCCCTCTACAGAAACTACTGAAGGGGGCAGTGAGGAGGGACAAAGCCCAGGCTTCCCTGTGTCGCCCACACCTTGGCGGGTCTGTACCCATTTCTGGAGACTGGGCAGGTGGAGCCCTGGAGGTGGGGTGCCAGGAGTGACCTCCCCTCTTTAGTTTCAAATGAGCCACGGCCGTGGAGTGGGGGCAGGTGGGGAGCAGCGGGGGCTTCCCTCGGAGGCCTGTCGTATTTGCTGACCCTGTACTCTCAATCCTGAAAGGGCTGGAGTGGAGGGGCACCTGCCAGGGAAAGGGGCACCCACAGTGAGCCCGGTCCACAGAGCATGCCCTGCCCTGCCCAGGAGCTCACGTTTGGGTGGTCACAGTCAGGAAGGGCCCCACAGGGCATGGAAAGAAGCTTGCTGCCTCCTCTCTCTGTGACAGCCAGCCAGCCCACTCTCTCTGAGCCTCAGTTTCCCCAGCCACACATCTGGACTGCCATGAGGCTGGCGGCCTGTCCCTCATTCTCTCTCTCCTCTTGTCATTCTGGTCATCTGCCTGCCCCTGCTGTCCCAGGAGTATCCGGTGCCTGAGAAACATCATCCACTGGAATCTCATCTCGGCCTTCATCCTGCGCAACGCCACGTGGTTCGTGGTCCAGCTCACCATGAGCCCCGAGGTCCACCAGAGCAATGTGGTGTGTCCTGGCAGGGGGAGCCAGCATGGGGACAAGCCCAGGATCAGAGGAGGGGCCCAGGCCAGGCCTCGTGCCCACAGAACAGGAGTGGGATCCTGAGGAGACCCCAGGTCCGGGTGGGGTGTTGTCACTGCCCCCACCCCACTCATCCTCACCTGTCTTTGGGGGGGGGGGCGGTCAGGGCTGGTGCAGGTTGGTGACAGCTGCGTACAACTATTTCCACGTGACCAACTTCTTCTGGATGTTTGGCGAGGGCTGCTACCTGCACACGGCCATTGTGCTCACCTACTCCACCGACCGGCTGCGCAAGTGGATGTTCATCTGCATTGGCTGGGGTGAGCGGGGCGGCCCCCCGCCCCAGGCCGGATGCTGCAAGCCCTGCTGCCCGCTCCTCACCTGGAGTCAGGCCAGCGGCCGGGGCCTGGGAGCTGGAGGCCAGGTTGGATGGTGGGGTGTGCACCCTCCTGGGGGGGGGGACAACAGGACCATCATGAAGGTGTGTGAGTTCATGCTCAACCCCTGGTAACCCCACCCCACTCTAGGCCCTGGGCTGCACTGGGGTCCTCCAGACCCAGCATCCCCCCTCCCCAGGTTCCCCTGAAGGGCTCTGTGACTGCCTGTCTCTTCCTCAGGTGTGCCTTTCCCCATCATTGTGGCCTGGGCCATTGGAAAGCTCTACTACGACAATGAGAAGTAAGTCACCTGCCTCCCCTCCCCAAGCCCTGAGGTCCAGGCTCCCAGCCTAGCTCCATCAGACCCTCCCCGAGGACCCTGGGTCATTCTGCCTCCCTGCCAGACCCTGGCTTCTGCATCTATAAAAGCAGAGAGTTGGGGGCTGGATTCAATCCAAGTGTCCCTCCAAGTGCTCTGTCAGAGGTGGCTGGAGAAGCAGCAGCCTCTGGGCTCCTTCATTCCTCTTGCGCTTTAACAAGAACGTCTCTAGAGCCAAGCTTCCCAGGTTCTGAATGTTGGCTCCACCAGTAAACATAGGTATATGACCTTGGAATAATTACTGCTCTGTGCCTCAGTTTCCTCATCTGCAAAATGGGCATCCCACTAACAGTGCCTACCTCAAAGGGTCCTGGTAGGACTAGCATGTGTGATACATAGTAAGCATGTAGAAATAGAGCCTAGCGTGTTAGTGTATGCTATGTTAATGTTTTGATTAACACTTGTTTTAACAAAGATTCCATGGATTTATTGGAGATTGGTCCAGATGGCCTCAGAGGCTCTTTGCAGCTCTGAAGCTTTGGAGACTCTTGTTCCCAGTCACCCCTGAACTAGACTTCCGTTGTTGCATGGAGAAAACTAGACAGCTGTGTCTCATGGAGAATCACCTGGAAACTCTAAAAAGCGCTGATTCCTGGGCTGACCACAGAGAGAAGGATGTCGTTGGTCTGAGTTGTGACCTGGGCACCAGGGTTTTTTTTAACTGCTCAGTGGTTCCAATGGGCAGCTAAGATGGAGAAAGAGGCAGAAAAGGCGGGTGGATCAAACTGGTGAGGGGAAGAAGACAAAATTGTTGCCAACAAAGCATTTTCAGGATCCACTGACCATCTGACCAGGCTCCAGGTGCCTCCTGCTGCCCTCGGCCACAGAGGAAGCCAGCACACCCTCCCTTGCTGGGAAAAGGATAAGGAGACTTGGAATGGAGAAGAAAGTGGGTCTCAGTGGCTCTGAAGCTCCACCTGCTGGCCAAATATAGACACTGCAACAGAAAGAATGGGAGTTGGAGACATCAGAAAGAACTAGCAAACCAGAAGACCTGGCCCTCCGACAGCTGGGTTTGGCTTGCGTGGTGCTGTTCAAAAACTTGATTTTGTAGCCACCTTTAAAAATCAACAGGTTTCACATAAGATCTCAATTTCTGTTTTATGGGAGCAAGATGAAGTCTAGCCACTGTGGGTCTCTGCCCACAAGGACATAGGGCTTCCAGTTTGTCCCACCCACTCCCTGGAACTTGCTGGAGGGCAACTCAGGAAAATGCAAAGCAGTTTTGTCTCTTGCAAACAGGTAGTTCCTGTGAAATTGTCCCCATTAAGGTCATTCATGTTGCAATTTAAATAATTCAGATAGAGCCTGGCACAATGGCACACGCCTGCAATCCCAGCAACTCTGGAGGCTGAGGAAGAAGAAGGATCGCACTTCAAAGCCAGCCTCAGCAATTTAGCCAGGCCCTAAGCAACTTAGAGAGACCCTGTCTCAGGAAATAAAGATGGCTGGGGATGTTGGTTATTTATTAAGTGCCCCTGAGGAATTGAAGTTTTAAAAAAAAAAAAATCAGACAGATTCTAACTGTCAGTGCCTATTTCAATAGCACCATGCTCAGCCACAGCCACCACCAGGGGACCACAAGGAGGAACAGAGGAAGCAGTGCTCTGTTGGGCCCCGGCCTGTTCCTGGGCACTCAGTGGTCTTCTCCACCGTCCCTCCCTGCCAGGGTCTGCTATCACTTTCCATCTCAAACAGAGGCTGCTGTCCACACTGCAGGTGGGATAACTGAGGCACTGCAGTCAACTGGCTTGATCTTCTGTCAGGATTGGAATTGGGGCACCCACATCCTGACTGCCAGCCCCAGTCCTGCCCTGGCCAAGCACTACCCTTCCCTGTGCCACTGAAGTGGATCCAGATGACGCCACCCCCCCCCTTCCTCTGTGACCTTCTAGGTGCTGGTTTGGCAAAAAGCCTGGGGTGTACACCGACTACATCTACCAGGGCCCCATGATCTTGGTCCTGTTGGTAAGAACCTTGGCGGGGGGCTGGACAGGGCACAGTGGGAAGGGGCAGTCAGTACCTGCTGTGGACAGAGAGGACCCTCTGCCCAGAGATGGGGACCACTCAGAGGAGCCCAGGCCAGGACTATGTGGGTGTTAATGAGGGGGAAGGAGAGCAGTAGGGGACAATGAGGCCAGAATTGAGAAGGCTGGGGACCTAAGCTGTCCCCTCCACCCACCACGACATCCTGCACACATCCATGCCCCCCGTCTCCATCCGTGTGCTCAACTTGCAGATCAACTTCATCTTCCTTTTCAACATCGTCCGCATCCTCATGACCAAACTCCGGGCATCCACCACATCTGAGACCATTCAGTACAGGTACCAGTCCCCTCCCCACCCAGGGGCTTCAGAGTGCCAGCCTCTGAGCAGGTCTCTCCTGAGACCTGCCACCTCTCACCCCAGCCAGAGGCCCAGCTCCCTCCTGGACAGGCTGTGACTCTGGGTCCCCACCCCCTACCCCAGGAAGGCTGTGAAGGCTACTCTGGTGCTGCTGCCCCTCCTGGGGATCACCTACATGCTCTTCTTTGTCAACCCCGGGGAGGACGAGGTCTCTCGGGTCGTCTTCATCTACTTCAACTCCTTCCTGGAATCCTTCCAGGTACGGGCCCCCCCTCGCCCCAGCGCTGGAGGGCCCTCAGCGGCACCTGCTCCGGTGGGGATTCTCCTGGGAGGAGGGGCAGAGCTGGGGGCAGCCTGGAGTCTGGGTGGGCCCCCTACCCCTGCCCAGGCCTCTGACGTCCCCCTGTCCCCCCAGGGCTTCTTCGTGTCTGTGTTCTACTGTTTCCTCAACAGCGAGGTGAGAACCCGAGTCAGAGCTGGGCTCAGGATGCTGAGGTCCACGGGGACTCTGCTTCCTCCTGCCCCAGGGCTGGCTTCCTGCTCCCAGGTCCCAGTAGGATGCTGCTCAGAGCCCCCGAGGGCCTGCCATGCCCTGTGTGTCCAAGGCACCCTGTCCTTAGGCATTGGCATTGGGGGGCAGAAAGCTGGGCCAGGAAGCCCTGGGGCAGGGTTTGGGGGGGGAGTACAGTGGGCGGGGGGAGGGGTGTCACAGGGCTGAGGGGAGGGATTTTGCATGGCAAAGGCCAGGTGGCACCTTGATGCCAGTTAAGAAAAGGTGTTCTTTCCTAACTTGAGAGAAGTGTCCCAACAAACATGGCCGTGAGAACGTTAGCGACATGAATGTTTCCACCTGTGCTTGTGTGAGGGGATCCTGAGCCCCCAGTCAGACCAGACATCATGCTCTGCTCTGTTCCCACAGGTCCGCTCTGCCATCCGGAAGAGGTGGCACCGGTGGCAGGACAAGCACTCCATCCGTGCCCGTGTGGCCCGCGCCATGTCCATCCCTACCTCCCCGACCCGCGTCAGCTTCCACAGCATCAAGCAGTCCACGGCTGTCTGAGCTGCAGGCCATGGAGCGGCCCCCTGACATCTGTGGCTGGGAGGATGATGGCCCCTGTCTGTGGAGGCTACCGCACTTTCCCACTCCCTCCCCACCCGGAGCTGTGGCCCCTGAGAGCCCGGGAGGGCCCCTCCACCCAGCAGTTGTTCTAGGCTTCTGAGTGGACAGCGGCCTATAGGACTGGGCTGGGCTGGGCCCAGTTCTCCCTGAAGAACGACACTGGAATGGAAATGGGAAGCAGGAAACCCTCAGCAGCACATGGGGCTCCCCAAGAGCTATCTTGTCTCAGAGCACAAAATGGCCAGCCCACTGGAGAGCTGGGGTCCTCAGCAAACTGGGGAGGCATTCACTGCCCAGGGCATCCTGGGAAACTCTCATGACACATCTATTCACCATCATGCCTCCAAGCATGAGCCTACCACTGAGAACCAAGGTCATGTCGTTTGGTCTGGAGCCCTGGGTGTATCATTAGAAATTGGATCACATCATCAGATATTGGGCCACATCACTAGAAACCAAACCCAAGCCACCAGAATGTCATCGGCACTGTGGCGCTGCCACCAAAAATGCCCTGCCTTGCTGCTTGCACCCTTGGACACTTACTACCTGTGGGACTCTCCGGCTTCCCCTCTCTTCCCCACTGACAGTGCCCTTGTCCTGACTCCTGCCACTTGCTGCCCCTGGGAGTCTCCCATCTGTGAGAAGATGGGGGCAGGGGGGGTGGAGTGGCCTGTGAACAAGAACCAGGGTGTGCCCCAGTCAAGGCCAGTCTCCTTTTGAGGAGGGAGAGAGCCCTTGGGGCCTGCAGCTGCTGGCTTCAGGACTGCCTCTGGGGCAGGGTCACCCACTGAGCAAAGGGAGAAGGGCCCCTCTCTGCCTGAGTGCTCTAGAGCAGGACAAATGGCTTACCTGCCTCCAGAGTGTGGACTGGCGCACCCCCACACTGGACCCCCGTGTCTAGGGGACTGGGCAGCTAGGGCAGGGCTCTGCAGTGGGGAGGCAGAGGTGCCCGCTGCGGGGGTGGCTAGTGTAAATAATAATATTTATCTTTTCAACCAGCATCTGTGAAAGCCTGGACTCTGCCAGGGACAGGGGAGAGAGGGTGCCTGAGAGACGCAGATGCCGGGAAACCCTGATCATCGCTCAGGGCTGCTGGAGGGGCAGGGGTGGGGACTTGGAAGGAGATGGATCTGGCCTGCTCTTAGTAAAGAAGTGAATCAGGGAGGGAAAGGACATGATCAGTAAGGTTGGGAAACTTTGCAATGGCAGGGGACAGGTGGAACAAAGGCATGGCCACGGGACCCTACAGGAGAGGGTCCAGCCCCAGGGAGGAGCAGAGCTGGGGAGCAGGCAGCGGAGGTAGGAAGCTGGGGCGTCAGACTAATTTAACTGTGGTGCCCGGAGTCAGCCGCTCCTGCAGCGGGTGGGGAGGCCCTGTGGGAATTGCTAGGGTGTCCTTGAAGGACATATGGGGTGCCCTGTTCTGCCAGTTCCCCAAGCTCTGTGCCCTTAAGTAGAGAGATAGGGACAGGGAGACTCAGGAGTCCCAGGACAGGGATGGGCCAATGGCTCCCAGAGCAATTTAGGGTGTGAGGTGGGGTGCCCTGCAGGGAGTAGCCCTGCTGGCTGACAGGAGGGACCAGGCTGACTAGTGAGTGTCAACAGCCACAGCTGAGCCGTGGAGACGGGGTTCTCAACTTGCCTTTCACACAGTGCGGCAGTGAGGAGGCAGAGCTTTCCCTGGATGTGGGCGGGATGGGGGAACCTCCCAAGGATGGGAGCCTGAGAGGGCTGCACAGACTAGCCCCTTCCTGCTTGGGCCCCTGGTTGCCCCAGCTGTCGGGGAACCTTCTATGGGCTTCTCTCAGTGTTGGACCCTGTGGGAGGGGAGAGGGGAGCAGCCATCCAGAATGGATGCTGGGGACACCTCTCAGAGCCCCTGACCTTGGAAGGCCATGGGGCCTGGCCATGGGCAGAAAAGCCCAGCAGGCAGGGCTGGTCCAGAGGAGCCTGGGCCCTCCCATCCAGAGACTGTATGGGGGGGGGGGGGCTGCTTTAGGGCACAGTGGGAAACGTCTGAGCCCCAAAGATCTGCAGCCCCCATGCCAGGGCCAGAAGCCCAGAGCTTCACCCATCTGCAGCAGGTGTGTTCCGGGCTTCAGGGTTAATGCAGGCCCAGACCAGGCCACTCTGCTCCAAGGTTTGGCTTGTGGGCTGGGGAAGGCCCCATGGGAGTGAGCAGGGTGTAGCACCCCTCACAGCAGCAGCAGGATGGAGGTCACTGGGGTCTCCCCAAGTCCTGAGTTCAGGCCCCTCCCTTACGCCCTGAAGAATTTTTCTCCACACCACACCCAGGGGTCGATGCGCCCTGAATGTACCCACACCTGAGCCCATTTCTCCTTGAGACCCTGCTCATAGTCATAGAACGGACACACTATTCTTCCAGTTCAGCTCTCCCTCCCTGACAGACAGCACAAACCCCTCCCTGAGGTCTTCATTGTCCCTTCTAGGTCCCTGTGCTGGCCGCCCTGGGGCCAGGACTGAGGAGCAGGCCAGATCTGGAGAAATCAAGTATTAGGGAGGGAGGTTAATCAGGGCCATTGGTAGACTGGTTTTGCAATCCACAAAATCCTTCATAGCGTGTCTTGCCTAGTCTTCAACTAGCCAGGGAGGTAGGAACCAGCCCATTTTGCAGCTGAAGAAATTGAGGCCTAGTGACCCCCTGAGATGGAAGCCTTCTGGCTCCAAGTCCAGGGCTCCTTCTGGCCCTCGGGTGACTGGAGTCCTGGGGGCCTTGGGCTGGGAGGCCAGGACTGACGAGGCAGGTCTGGGGCCAGAGGGCTGAGGAGGCCACAGGGTTTTGGATTGATCTGAAACACGTCCCACATGAAGATGTGACCCGCCACGGCTGGCCCAGCCAGTGTCCAGCAGCTGAGGCCAGCTGGCGGGAACAATCCCGGCTCTGAGTCTCTGGCATCTCTTCCTCTCCTCCTCCCACCTCCCACCCCTCCACTCTCTAAAATGATGCTGAGCTTCAAACCATGTAGCCCCGGCCCCCAGAAGCCATGGCAGCCCTCTCTGCACCCCAGGCCATCTAACCCTGTGAGGGAGCCGCTGGCCTCCAGCTCAGAGGTGTCTCATGGTCATCTCATCCAGCCCCAGCTCCCAACTCATCTGCCCAGTGGGCCCAAACAGAGCAGGTGCTCTATACAGCTCATCCCCAGCAATCCTGAGCAGCATTGTGTTTTGGAGCATCAGGTCACACACATGAATCTCATCTATTCTTCCTATTGCCCTGCAAAGCAGATGCTATTATCCCCCATTTAACAGGTGGGAAAAGTGAAGCCCAGAGGGGTCAAGAGTCCTGCCCAGGGCACCCAGCAGTGGCATGTCTGGATGAAAACCCAAGGTGGCTTCACACTGCCTGCACAGTGGTACAGGACACTTTGCAAGGTTACCCTCTCTGACCCACTGCCTCCTCCAGTACCTTCCCCAGGGACATTTTTCTGTTTTCCAATCTGTAGACAAACAGCATTCAGAGATGAGTTGGCCATAGGATCTGGAGCCTATACAGCACAGGCTTCAAGTGCCCCCAGTGTCCCCAGGTCATCCCAGCTCCACCTCTCAACATGGCCTCCTGCCTTTCCCTCTAGCCCAGCAACCCCTGCAGATACCGCCAGACAGGCTCAGGGTCAAGAGAGGCCTGGGCCCTGTCCATTTCTCAAAGCTCTTGGTGACAGAAGCACCAATGAGTTCATCATTTGGATGAAACTCCAGACTGCCACCCAGCCCCTTCTGTCCCTCCAAGTCGTTCTGGACAAAACCCTGCCACCCTGCTTCATTGTGCACTGGGCCAAGGCAGGTGAGGACAGGGATGGGGGCTCTTAGGGACCCAAGGAGGCTGGTGAAAACTAGCTGGGGCACCCACCTAGGGTGGGCATCATAGTAGGTAGGCCCGAGCTCCTGCTTCTCTCCCCTTCATTGCTGGGGTGGGGGAGAGAGCAGATGGCAAGCCAGTCCCTTCCCAGGTCTGCACCACCTCCAGCTCATGCCTGGGCCAGCAGGTCGGGGCAGAAGAGAGGCCAAGCAGCAGGGTGCTTTCCCTGCCTGCCTGAGCGGATACCTACTGCCCCTGAGTGGGTGAAGATAAATGTTCCAGACGCTGCCTAGGTCCAAATGGAAGGCAGAGACTTTGCCACTGGTCTGCCCTAGGCAGCCCCCTGAGAGCTCAGGTCCTGGCCGAGGTGGGGACAGGGGAGAGAGCAAAGCAGCCAGTGCAGGGGCTGTCATCAAGGTCAGGATCAGGAGTCTGCAAAGTCTTACAGCAGGATTACAGCAGGAGAGTGGACCACAGCCCCAAAGGGCACCAGCCACTCGTGTGAATGTAATGATCAGGGCACAAAGTGGCCACCCTGAAGGGCGAGCCCAGGGCTGATGGGCTGGGCTGGGGTAGGTGGGTGGGGGTTCTGGGGAAGCAGTGACTGAGGCAGGGACCGCCTTCAGCAAGCTGGGTCCCAGGAAGAGACATGGAGGGAAGGAGCCTTCAGAGAATCCTTTGAGCCTGGGGCACCAGGAGCCTAAGGGTAGATCAAGGAGGAAGGGCAGGAGCAAGCTCTGTCGAGGGTACCCATGTTTCCTTTCTCTCTTCCTTTCTTTCCTTTTTTCCCCTCTCTTTCTCCTTCCCTTCCCTCATTCCTTCCATCCATCCTTCCTTTCTCTTTCTCTCTCCCTCTCTCTTTTGTACTGTGGATTGGACCCAGAGCTACTCTACCACTGAGCTACATCCCCATCCTAGTTTATTTTATTTTGAGACAGGGCCTCACTAAATTGCCCAGGCTGGCCTCAAACTTGCCATCCTCCTGCTTTAGCCTCCTGAGAGTCTAGGATTACAAGTATGTGACAAGGTGCCAGGCTGGTTCCCAAGTTTGCTGAACCCCCAAGTTTGGGGACACATGCCGGCCTGATAGGATTCTGAGGAACCACAATGAGACCTGTCCTGA